ACTATGAATAAATTCTTATCACAGAAAGTTTTCATCGCTCGCCAACCGAAAAAATTCCTCCTCAGTGAGAACATTAATTTCCGTGGTTCTCATCATTGTGGCCTTTAATATGTTAAATACAATGAGGATCGTGACCACATCCTCAATAATCTCCGGAACCAAAAAAAATATTCTCCATAAGATTGTAAAACCCAATTCGTGAATAGTCAGCTCTATTCTTCAGTAGTATCTTCCAGAATATCTTCTTCCACAATTTCGGGTTATCTACAATTCTCATCTGCACATTCTTCGAAATTTCTATTGAGTTTTCCTTCTCGTAAGCATACGCTATCACTGCGATCACAAGATGTAGTCGAAAGTCACCACCCTCGCTAGGGCCTGCGCCTCTGACTCGACGCCAGCCTGTTTATCTGTCTCTGTGTTAAGTTCCGGAACCAGAAGGGAGCCACATAAGGACCCTTCAAAATTTATCTAATACATTTGAGACATACGTTGTTGAAGATTATGGTCATTGATAAGAGTTATTGGGGCTTCAGCCCGTGAGTTTTTTTTTTTCATAAAAATTACGATAATTTCTTTGGAAAAAAAGAAAGAAACTAACTACCTATATGAAATGGTGTTTAAGTGATTCCTAAAGTCCTTTTAAATGTAATTGCACGAACAATAATACCTTAACAGATAATTTTTAAATATTTCTTTCCATAAAACATAGTTATATTTCACCATTTGTGAGGGGAAGGCCCCCACATACACCACAAAGCCCCCTCCCCCGTAGATCCACCCGTGACTGACCATGATTGCCGAAACGGTTGGAAATATGATTAGAAAACATGGCTTTAATCCTGCTCAGTTCGCCAAAAATAAGATCTAAAATCTCTGTGAGTACTGGTATCAGGTTTTTATTTGGGAATGTTTTTTTTTCCATGAATCAAAACTCAACATAAAAACTTCTGACGGGAGGAAAATGACGAAGAAACTCTCAATCAAGAGGTCAACCTGAAAAATCTCTTTTATTAAAAGTTGTCTTTAGCTGTTGGTACATCTAAACAAGATGATAGTGATAATGTGGAAGTGTTAGAAAGGTGTCAGCTATTGGCGTTAGGAAATTGTATTCTGCTATTCACGGAATAATGGATAGATGTAAATACATTTGATGTGTGGAAGTGGCGCAGACGCGTGGTCTAATGTGTGTGCAAAATACGCGTTGCTCGCCCTGTGTTCAGGAGACTTTTAATTCTGAATTTTAATACCCTCCCTCTCCTCGACCAGGGAAACCCCGTTTAACCGAAAAAGCGAAGAAAGAAGAATAAAAAATGGATAATTTGAAAAGCATTACTCGTCAAATGAGAATTCTAGAAAATTTTAAATTTAGGCAGGACATCAACCCGAAGAACCAGCTGAAGAACAAGGCTGCATAACAAGAATTGAGCTACTTTAATCAAGTAATCCTGACATGAATCCCATTGAAAATGTGTGGCCATATTTGAATTGATGTAGGACAGGGTGGCACAAATTAAATTATAACAAAATTAGATTAATTTTACCACTACGATTTATGGAGGGTTTGGGGTTCATTTGACCAACATCATACTCAAATGCCTGGTTTTTCCTGTTAATTATTTATTGAATCGAAAGTACCCGCTTTATAAGTCTCTATCGGCCCAAGAGGGTCTTCAGCCCCAAGCTTGACCCTCGGCTGATGTAACAGAATAAGTAATCGCCTTTTACAGCCATATTCGAAGCATCGGAGAGAACACAGTGCTTTTCTCTCTGAGCTACCTCTTTCCCATGAGATTTGAGATTAATGTACCGAGGTTTTGTAAGGTTTCATTGAAAGTTTATTGCCCGTGTTTGAGAATATTGAGCACATAAAGTTATGCAACTGGAAATTATGAATATAACCTGTATTTCCTTCCTGATGATTAATGTTGGCAAGATAGTTCGCTGTTCTTGGTATTAGGCGAGCCCCTTTCAATTTAAGGTCAACGATCTAACGTCAACAAATAGAGGCTACGTCATTGGAGTGAAGGGAATATTATTGTGCAACTTCCATAATTATCATTAAAAAACCTGGGATTTTCTTGTCTATGACGAACGAACCTATTGGTTTGCAAAACAATTCCCTTGCAAGATAACATAATCAATATAAAATATGTCTGTGAAAGTTTTTTCATTTCAATGTGATTATTTATAATTATTTTAGATCTTCAAAACTATATAAAATACTAAAGCACGACTATAAGTACTAGTTCTGGCGATTAAATGGTGGGATATCAATGATTACATCAGCAAAGATCCTTTGTTTATTTATTTAAATTTTTTTTCAGTGCTGTCTGATTCTTGTTGAGGCTGCTGCTGGATCTTCCTCCAAATATTATAGTTTTGGAAATGTCTTGATCTCTATTGAATATTTCATAACTTGTCTATATAATTTTGAGTCCTTTCCAATTAACCTTGATTTTTATTGGTGGTCAATACCACTGTTCTTTCTTACCTCCCTTTTGAATTAATACTCCATTGTTATGTTAGATGTTCTGCAGTTGCTAGCAAGTGAAACATTTTCTCACTAATAAATGTACAATTAGTACAATCATAAACTTTATATTATGGTATGTTTTCAATGTAAATTTATATTAGATATAGTATAATTCTTTTATTTCGAACTGCTTTATATGAGCAGATGTGTCCTGTTGACTGGAACAATAGAAATAGAGTTTGAAAACAATTTTGGTTCTACATTTATAGCTATCTCGTGCTTTGGCAAAATAATCCTCAACAGCTAGGATGAGATAAAGCAGTTTCAGTATTAATGATCTGGCATCACCTGCTAAATTTTATTGGTCATTTTAATTTATTTCAATGACATATCAATTTCTATTTTGATAATGAAACTTATCTATGTAGTGTCCTTTATATAATCAGGAAATGACAGAATAAGTACTGGAATCAGAACCATGGATTATAAAATGAAAATCAAAAGATCCTAGTGCAAATCAAGATAATACTATTGATAAAAAACAATAATTAAATAAATATTACGAATGAATAGCTTCTTTTTTATTTTTTCACTCCTTTTTCAATAGAATTTCTGTGTCTTCTTCAAAACTATTAATATACCCAAGATCTAATTATAATTATTATTATTTTGAAAAATTATGAATATATTTATAGGATTTATAGTGAAGAATAATGAAATTAATATTATTTTTAAGTAGTGTAACTCTATGAAAGAGAATAGGTAAGTTAGTGCAATGTGAACTGCTTATGTATATGTAATATGATGTCGTCTCCTATTTTAGAGAGTTTATTTATTTCATGATATATGTATATATATTTTAAAAATACTATTTAATAGAAATGAAAATATACTTAAGATAGAAAATCTTATTAAAACACTTAAAGCATTTTTTTTTCACTTTCTTTACTTGTTTCTTTACTTTAATGAATAAAACAACCTGATAAAGCTATTCAAATCAACATTTCCTAGAAAAGTACATGTACGTATTGATTCTTCCCCCTCTAATAAATTAAATGTTCTTTTCCTCCTCGGATTTCCCCCCAGTAGTCCTAAAGACCGGTATATAACTGTATCCTCATTCCTTATAATTCATTCTTAAAGACAGACCATTTTCTTTTTCTTTTTCTTTTTATGATGCTGATGAATTCGTAGAGTATTTATTTCATTGTAAGATTATATTTCAGGTACTTTCAAGTTTTTATTTAAATTTTTCATCATAAAGTATTTCAAAAATGTTTAATATTATCTTGTTTGACCATTTTTAAAAAATAACATGTTTTTAATGCAATTGAAAAAGACATGAAGTTCATAGAAATTTACTGAATCAGAATTATACAGCTTATTTTCATAAATTATTATCATGCCTAAATTTCTATAAATAAAGTCTAAATTTAGCTTCAATAAATCTGTAATTTTATGTTTCCTGAAAAAATTGTATATGTTTTAAATTTACAATATATTATGTTATCTAAAAGTAAATTAATAATATATATTAAATGTTTTTGATTTATTTCTCGATAGCACTTATTTAATAGGTATAATTTACTTATTAATTTTAAAGAGTTTATATTTGTTACATTAATTATGTTTTACAAATCTATGAATAATTTTTTGGTAATAAGTTGCTTTCATGTTCAATTTTTATTTAATAACCCTGCAATGTATTAACTTTAACAATCTGTAGCCTTGTGGTTTAATATATGGAAATTTACTTTTCAAACCATAACTGAGTAATTTTATTAAACATTGGTGGTCAGTGGCATAGTATCAGGGAGGCATGTGGACCCTAGATTCACTTGAATGAAATTAAAGTGTTAATAGGGCTTCTGTTCTAAAATTGAAAATTGTAGAACTAAAGATTCTGATTATGTACCATTAGGGTCGATAGTTTTAACAATGATATGACCCATACCAAAAATAATACCTCCTAAAAATTATAAGCACACTGCACCTATACTAATGATAAAAATTTCATTCACCATTAGATTTCTGTCACAAAATAATTATTTAGTAGTTTAGGAATACTTAAAATGCATTCTATAGTTTGGAAATGTTTAATCATGCAAAAAATAAGAAAATATTCATCAAGAAGATGTTAGTTGTGAGAAAGAACTATTGGTTACCAAAATGAAAGCTAATATTTTATTTTTAAACCTGACCATCTTTGTTTTATTGAATTTCTTAAGTAGTTTGTGTTTAAATATATTTATTTTTATATTATGGCACCTATCTATATTTCTGTTATTTTTTACTATTGTTTGGTTTTTTCCTTAAATATTATATTATCTATATTTTGAATATATACTCTACACCTCCTTTTTCATTCATATAATACTTTCTTACTCTTTTTTTTTTTTTTTTTTTTTTTTTTTTTTTTTTTTTTTTGTTCCCTTCTGGTCTATGAGTATCATTCTTAAAACCTATTTACTATATAGTTATATAATTCTGCTATTAAATTAATTATGTTGTTTCATGATTTCAGGCATTATCTAAACTTGTTTGAAAGCTGGTATAAAACTGTTGGAAAAAATGCTCTACTATGTAATATTGATGTTATTCCCGATCTCCATAGCTACTAATGTAAGTAAATGAAGTTACGTATTATACAAAAACTGCTGACTAAATTAAACATAAATAATGATATAAATATACTGCATTAAAGTGATTATATTTTAAGAAATTTATACAATTTTGGTATAAAGTGACGGATACACTTAAATTAGAAATGATTTTTATTTTATTTTACAAATCAAAACCTGAGAAAGACTTGTTCAAGAAATTCAACTTAATTGTTTAAGACTTTTTAGTTTGTTTTTTGAATTAATTTATTATGGGTGTTTGTCTTCAGGTTTATAAAGCAGCGCACATATACTATAATTGGTACATTATTTATTAGGGCTTCCATGTATATATCAATATTCTGATGAATAAAAAATGTTAAAAAGCAAATAACTATTTCAATTGACATGTATATGGTAATTTCCTCGTGAATTTTCTTGAATGACGGAGGCTATAAGCCATGCTGCATTATCTTTCCTCTTACAAGGATGGGAAACCAACTTGAATGTGACGATATTCAAGATACTTATTCAATAAATATATATAATTAAAATATGTAATTTAGTAATTAATTTATTGCAATTTATCCCAGTCACAGAAGAAAAAGAAATAAAAGAATTATAATTTTTTTATTCTCTGAAAACACATGTACTTTAGGTAAGCTTAACTACATGTTTGCCAGGTGTCTTTTGTTAACTTTTATTAACAGTACATTTTATATTTCAAATTATTTTAATCTAGTCCAGATTTCATATGAAACGGTTCCGAGTGATTCATCTATGAGCAAGCACTAAAATACTTCTTGATTTTTTTTTAATATGGGTTAAACCTATAATTAGTTCTCTATTTTCTAAAATTGTTTTCATGTTTTTATAATTTATAAGTAATGCTCATACCAGACAGAAACGACAAGAAACCGCTCGATGTTTCCCGATGTTCCTACTTCTACACTATCTAAACAAACGTTCTAATCTTCCAATTAATTACAAAAGACTCATATAAATGACTATAATAATGCCTATTTGGACTTCTGGAGTTGAGCTATGGGGCTCCATCAAACCATCAAATTCCTACCTTACCCAATCCTTACAATCCAAAATCCTTCGTAAAATCCTTAATGCTCTTTACTTTGTTACAAATAAAATCATCTATAATGACCTTAATGTTCCTTATGTTTCTGATTTGTTCCAATCCAGATATCTATCCTTCCATAACAAACTTCATAATCATCCCAACCCTCTTGTTTCTAGCCTCGCTTCCTCTTCAATTCCTGATAACCCTCCGAAAGGTCTGAAAAGAAGATGTGCCCGTGTCTCCTAATGAAGGCATATTATTAGAGTGCTACCAGTGGGTAGTTTCTTAATATGTGTTTCATTTCATTATATCCCTTTTTATGTATTTTACTAGATGTATTTTTTTTTTTATAAATTTGTAAATATCATAATAAAAAATAAAAAAGAAGTAACCCTAAACCTAAATAATAAAATAGTTCAAATAATCAAAAAAAAGAGAGCCTAGAGAATTGGGCTTCCCTTGAAACTCAGTGTCTGGGAAAACTTACCTCTATTCCTACTATATTCTATACTTATGTTTCTATTCGCCTGATAAGTGGACTGAATTCTTATACAAAAATTTTTATTGCTAACTTCAGTTCTTGTTGTTTTTAGGAAGAGGCAATGGTGGCCGAATGTGTTAAAATGTTGGGTGCTTTAAGATTCTCGAGTCTAGTGGTGTCAGCTCGAAACTGGCTTGGACGAGTAGAATTAAGTTTGTAGTGGACCAACAGAACGGATCTTAATCTTCCCACTCTGATTAGAATAGGTTTAGTTGAACCCCTAGAATAATCTCCCTTGTCCCATTATGCCAGAAATGGTGAGGGAGAGATTAACCGAGAAAAAAAAAAAAAAAAATTACAGTTGAAAAAATTAGAAGGATTGGGGGGATAGCTCAGTGAATAAGCGCTTTGGCTGAATGCAAGCAATAAATGGGGAGGGGTGTCCGATCAGGTTAATGCATATGCAAAACACATGTAACCAAGCAACCTGATAAACCAAAGATTACTTGATAAAATAATTACTAGTTCACTTCCCAGTGCTAAATTAATCCCCGCCCTCCCCACTGACCTGGGAATACAGACAACTGGCCAATTTCATATGGATTTGAAGTTTATTAGACAAGGAAGTTTTTCTAAAAGTGGATAGTCTGTAGCCTACTAGTAGGAGATTGATAAAAAAAATCAGTCAACATTTTCGTTAAAATAGTTTTAAGAAAGATAAATTCTGCATATTTTTTTTTTTTTATCAAACAAGAATTGTGACAACAATAATTAACACAAAATTTAAATTTATTTTTTCTCTTTTAGGAATTGGACCGTAGCCCAATTATAGTTTTCTGTCCATAATTAAGGTCTACTATCATCTCCACATGTTTCACACATTTGAGTTAAAACCTATGTGTGTTATATGAGAATATACAAAATTATTTAACATAAGAAACATATTTATATTAACCCACAGAGTTAGGAACAATCTTATATATAAAAATAAATTGAGTTTTCTTTTTTTTATAATTGTGATCATAAGATAATTTTGGTTAAATTAATATTGTTTAAATTATTGAACAAATCTAATTTTATACTAAATTTCAGCATTATTCAAAATAATCTATTTATTATCAAAAGACCATAAATATGATTTTCTGATCAATGACGTTTATATGGTTATAGAAAGAAGTTCTTTTAAAGATTATTGTTAACCCCCAAAGGTATTCAAAAGAGTCTTTGAGGACATTAAATTAGTAATTTATATTAATACTCTTATATCCTTGAAAAAAACTAAATATTTATGAAATTCGCTTTACAAAGTGAATAAATGGAATCATTACACTAAAATGATAAGGAGCCAATATATATTTACAAAATATCTAACATCAGTGCTGGCAATTTAATTATGGCCAAGTTTAACAGAGACTATTTAGGAAAAGAATATGGGTATGCGGTGTCTTACAGAATGCAAAAATAATGGCATAAAAAAATATAATAGTTTTATTTCAATATCCAAGTCATTCTCTAACAGAAGAACAGTATTTTATTATATTAGGAAGAGGATTAGTCATTAACCTTGGAGCTTTCTCAAGCTATCATAAATTATGCTTCCCATGGCCTTTTGTTTGATCATATTATTGAATAGATTTCCAATAAAGATCCTACGACCATAGTGAAAGAACTTAGGAGTAAACCATTACTAACGATGTGATTGAGTTTGCTGAAAAAAAGCAAATAATGAAATCCTCTAGGATGTAATCATTTGTTTCATTACAGTATAGAGCTAAACACTAGCGGATTCAAGGTTTAATTTTCTGGTAGGCTTCAGTCTGAAATTTTTTTTTTATATATGTATATATAACGATAATTACTTTGGAAAAAAAAAAGAAAGATACTAACTACCTATATGAAACCTATTCTTGAAGTCTTATTAAATGTAATTACATGAACAATAATACTTTAAGAGATAATTTTTTCATATTTTTTACCATAAACATGGTTACATTACACCATTTTGGGGGGGGGGGCTTCAGCCCGAAAGCCCTCCCTCCCGCCTCCCCTCCCCCATAGATCCACCTATGGATTTAATTGATTGAGCTCCAGAGTAAAGATCTATTTCATATGATATGATACAGAGAGGGTAGGTGAGGAGAATGGAAACAAATCTTATAATTTAATCACTCAAGGAGGAAATATTGAACTTTGTGACAATTATTACTGTAAAATAACAATCATTAAAATTAAAAGTTGGATCAAATTTAACCATAAATGAATCTTATGAAATGACTCTTTATGCATTAAAAAACATTTTTTTAGAAATAATTTGATTCTGTTTTTTGTTATACCTAAATCATTCTTTTTGTTGCAGGCACCCAAAGTACTAACTGTTAATGGAAAAAATATGGAACGACATAATATAGCAGGTTACACAGCATACAATTTCTATTATTCAAAAATTGAATCAATTCTAAATGAAAACATCCTAGAAACTTACAACTTTGCTTTACAATACAATCGGACGTTTGCTGGAGTCATACTTTCTCAAACAACACCTGAAAGGCTCTTGTTTTTGCAGTTGCTATATTCATTTGAAGAACAAAATTTAGACTTTCAATGTCTTTTCTATCGTTTGGCCAAAGAGCTTCCTATTAGAAATTCCAGGAATTTTAAGTTGTGGTTGGAGGATAATTTTAATTTTCCTCCTAAAAAAGTATTTGAAATGGTTCGTTTCATTGCAACAAATAATGTTTCTTTAACTAAACATTTTATAGAACAGATTGTTTATATGTCTACGAGTTACAAAGTTAATGAAATCGCTCTCGCCATTGGAGATCATAAAGTACTTCAATGGTTATTAAAAAATGGTGCAAACATTCAATCTGTTGAAGAAAATATCCTGGAAAATGCTTGGAAAACTGGCGATATAGATACTGTAACACTATTACTGGAACATAGTAAGACAAATTATCTACAAATAACAAAGGATATTGTCAATGATCTATTTAAAAATAATGAAACACTTTTACATTTTGCTGTCAAACGGGGCTTGCAGCAAATGGTTAAGTACCTTGTGACAAATCTGGATGCAAACATTGACTCTAAAGATATATTTGGTCGATCACCATTGTTTCGAGCTGTTGAATCAAATAATACTGATATAGTAGAGTTGTTGATTACTTTAGGTGCTGATACATCGAAAGAAAAGCTGTTAACCCTGGCAATCATAAATAATCAATTGGAAATGGTTAAGATTCTAATTAAGTTAAACATTACTGCAGATTTGTCTGATAATACTGGTCAAAGTCCATTTTTTCTTGCAGTTGAAAGAAATAATGATGAAATATTAAAAGTCCTTGCAATTGTTGGAAGAAAAACTTTGAATTCAACAAATGAATTTGGTGATACACTGATGCATGTTGCTTCATCAAATGGATTCATAGAAAGTGTCAGAGTTCTTAGATGCCTTCAGGTAGCTTATGATTCAAAAAATAATTTTGGTCAAACACCGCTGTACAAAGCGGTAGAAAATGGTAATTTAGAGATAATAAAAGAGTTGATTGAAGCCGGTGCTGACATTAACACCCAAACAGATTCAAAAGATACACTAATGCACCTTACTGCTGCTAAAGGAAATATTGATATAGCTAAATTACTCATAAAGAATGGCATCAAAATAGAGGTGGAAAACAGCATTGGGCAAGTTCCTATTTATAAAGCAGCTCAGTCAGGAAAACTTGAAATTATAATGCTTCTAGTAAGAGAAGGTGCAGATATTTACAAAATGATCAATGGTGAGAGTATGTTACATAAAGCCGCAAGTGAAGGTGATACAAATGCAGTGATCAACCTGATTAACAGTGGTTTTAGAAAAATTGACATTATTGATCCTTTGAATGTAACTCCGCTATATTTAGCTGTTAAACATGGTCATTTAAAAGTTGCTGAAACACTCCTGAAAAGAGGAGCTGATCCGAATGTACGTAATAAAGACCTTTGGACTCCATTGCACCAGGCTGCTGTTGCAGGCCATGATAGCATTGTCAAACTATTGTTGTCCTATTCAGCTAATGCTGATTTGGAAAATAGCGAAGGTCAAACACCACTGGGATTGGCTATTGCCCACAAGAAGGGGAAGGTTGTAGTAACATTAATAAGGTACAAGGCCTATAATCAGGTAGAGCTACTGACTGAAAAGAAATAGACAGATATTTACAGGCCAAGAGAACTGTTTGTGTGTGATGTAATGTTTTAATGACATACATAGATTGATGCATAATTGTTTTAGCATAGACTAAATTTGTGTTAATAATTTGGTTTTGTTTTTCTAATTATCACAAATTCCCAATTTATTTTAATTAATTTTAAATTAAATGTACTAATGTAATATTAGTGACTTTAATGCTGATCATAACTTAAGTCTTTGCCTTATTGTTACAATCTATTAATAAAAATAGTGATATCTTACTCTTTTGGATAACAAATGTCACATATCAAACCTAAAATCTTTGGGCTATGTACTCAATTTACCATCTCATTTTTCTCTGTAATGTGTATTATATATATATATATATATATATATATATATATATATATTATATATATATATATATATATATATAAATAATTGTTTAAGCAAAGGTAATTTCCAGGTCGCAATCAGAACTTGTTTTGTAATAAATGTCTAGTTTTCTAATCAATTCAATTAAGAAAAATGATAATTACTTAGTATAAGTTTGATTTCTTATATAGAAGAGGACAAGACTTTATTCAAGGTTTAGGATATATTCTTATTTATGTATAATAATGAGTATTCTATAACATTCTATTGTAACTCACTACAGAGAAATAAGCAATGAATATATTTTTTTGTAAATATGTAAAAACTATCAGTATTATTATTTATTTTTTATAGTTGTTAAATTTAAACTTTAATGTTAAATACTTGTGCCTTTTAAGATAGACATGTTTTAATTTTAGTTTTTGTACTGAAAAAATTAAATCGTAATTTTTTTTTCCTATTTATTGTTCACTTGACTAAATAACATGAATGGTCCTACAAACCATAGTTGGTCTGCTGTCGTAATAAAGTTATCTAAAGGATTTGGAAAAAAAAACCTGTATCACTACAACCCATGAAGGGTCTGGGGTTCAGCACTATTTAGGGAAAGCACTGTTTCTAGGTCAACGGTTGTGCAAGGAGGTGATTTGGCCGAGATCACGCTCAACCGCCAGGTTTTCCCCCTTAATTAATTATTTAACTAAGGTTACCCACTTTATAGAATCTGGGTGTGCTCCAGGAGGGTCACCCCACGGCCAATGAAACAGATAAATAAATGTTCTGCCATGAGCCGGGATTCGAATCTGGAACCTTTAGCATAGGAAGCTCAGTACCCTACCACTGAGCTACCCTACCCCACTTCATTAATGGATTTGGTTTATATATGAATTTTTCCCAAAAGAATGGGTCTATATTTTCTTACTTTTTGATATTTTTACTTATAAATTATTTCAAAAATTTACTCAAAACCTTTCGGTATAATAAATTAACCAAAAAACAAAAAAAAAAAGGGTAAATCTTAAAGGAAATGGTAAATTTAGTTATATTAAAATATTAATACTTCTATTACATTGCATGTTACAATAGGATTGTTGAAAAGCATATGAAGACTGCCCATACTGCAGTTAAGAACCAAACACCTAAGAGAATTGTACCCATATGGCAAATAAAAAGTTGATAGGAAAAAGAAATGTCTTTGTGGAGTCGACGACATTGTTGCCAATAAATGCCTTCAAGCTTGAAGACAAATTTTAGAGCAACTTTCTTAGAAATGTTGCCTTTAAATTCGCCTTTTATTTTATATGTATGTATACATAAAATAATTTTATATACAGTGCAAATATTTGATGGGATTACGTACACAGGTATGGATGTATACTCCCATTTAATATTTGCACTGCATATAAAACATTTCTATAACACTATTTATTTTTTAAACTTTTGTCACAACGTTGTTTTGTAGGATAACTAAATATCTTATATCATTACAAAGAAATTATAAAATATTTACTTTATATATTTTCTGTTAATGATATTAATAAAAGAATGAAATTCAGTTGACATGAAAAATTTAACTGTTTTGTACTTTTTCATTTGGTGTAAAAAAATAAAACATTTTTTACTTGATTGATAACAATTTCAGTTATATTATTGAAATGAAAATATATTTTATTATTCTGGCACTGTTGCCCCTTAAAAATAAATTATAAGTACAGATTGGATGTCTGTGTTGTCATTAATAAATTATATATTTACAATAAGAGTTAATTGAAAATAAAAATACAAAAGAAGAGATAGAAAAAGACAAAAAAAAAATTGTACATATATATAAGACAGACATTATTATGGTAAGTGTAACTAACCATGGCTTATCAAACTTAGAATAAATTTATTAAGTGATTGGTACTTAGTATCAGATGCATCAATTATATTTAGAGGTGGTGATAGGAGATTGTGTTTAGGCATTTCCTTTGAAACCTCAAGTCTAGCAGTGCCAGCCAGGATAAATGAAATTAATTTTGTGGTGGATCTACTATATGAATTTTGTCCTTCGCACACTGGCTGGAATAGGTTGGTTATTTTTGAGGCAAGTGCAAGTAACCTTATGGATTGAGAGCAATGTTAGCAATGTTACCCAAACACAACTATTTATTTAGTACCATTTAGCTCTTATATCTGGTTCATTTATTTTTTTTTATAAATCTCATTTAATATAATTATTCATTAATTAGTAAGGCTTATCTAAACTTAATCTCATATCATAACTTGCACCAAAAAGTAAAAATAATGAAACTATGGAAACTATCATCTCATTCATTTGAAACAAAATTTCAAAAAGTTAATTATATAGGAAAACTAGCCACAACTAATAATGTCAGAGCCTAAAGTATTTAATGCTTCTTTTTTTATTTAATCTTTTTTTTTGTTTTGATTATTTGATGAGTTTTATTAAAGTCCTATCAGCCCATTATCATCTTTTGTGTATTTAAAAAAATGAAACTAAAAAGTATGCAAACAATTTTATTTCTTGTAGAAAATTTAAGATATTTTAATGATTTAAAATATCTTAAATTTGCAGAATCCGAAAACTTTTCCCACCATCAGTCTATGATAAACCTCTAGTGGGAAAGTGTAATCTCAAAACAAAAATTTAAAAAAAATTAATTGAATATAACTTCTTTTAAAAAAAAAATATATATATATGGTTTTAAAGTCAATTAGTCCAGGTTTATGCAAGAAAAAAAAACCTTTCACCCTATCAGATGATTCGATTACGCATTGGTTTAATTAATTAAAATTATTGCTAATATTTGTAATTACTTCTTTCCTTTTAATTAGTTATTCCTGTCGGTGGAAATGAATAAAACATAAATAATTAATGAAACAATCAGTACCATCAAATAACAGTGATCATCATAATAATATTTTTCATTAAATAATTTAAAAATGAATTAAAAATAAGAACCAAAGGACAGTTTTGTTTCTTTTCGAGAATTTCCCTTAGTTGTTTTTCTTCTCAATTATTAATTTATAATGAATTGAAGAATATATAGTTAAGCTCGAAATTGTTACCATTTTTATTTATTTCTTTTTTTTAAGGATTTACTTAACTGTTGTTTCTTTTACTAATTATATAAAGAAGTGATGTAGTGAACTACTGAAAGATGTGAGTACTAATATACTGTATGAGACATGGGTTTGGCCTGAGGCTGTGTACCAAGTTCAAAATGGTAATGAGCCTAAAAATGTGACCACCATTGAGATACGTGGTTTATATAGAAATGGATTGTCAGTCATGGGTAATTAGTCCTCATAAATTAAAATCTTGATGTTGAAGTATGATTAGTTATTTGATTAAAAAATAAAAGGAATTATCAGTAAATAAATTAAAAATCAGTAAATTATTTAATAATAATAACATTGGATTTACAATATATTACACATTTGATTGGTTTTTATACAGTTAATTAAAACCTTAATATGACTAAAATAAGTTATAATAATAAATAAGAATAATGAAATTTGTTTTTTTTAAAACAGGAATTTTTATTAAAATATATCAAATATATAAATTTAAACTAATCAAGAAACTTGGATGCTATTATAGGTAAACATCATCTCAGTTCTTAGTTTTGCCTCATAAATCTATTGGTCTGGAAATGGTTCTAATTCATGAATATGAATTGCGACCCATTTCACCATCGCCTTCAAATTCCTCAACAAATATCCCATTGCCCTTGACCATTGTTCTGTGTTAGTAGATAGTAATCTGACAGTATATAGTCTACCGGTTTCTGGATCTTTTAATTTATCATTTTCAATTTCATACGGTATTTTTGCCTTGCCTGGACGGGGAGTGATAATTTTCATTTTATCATGGAGTTGTGACATACAGTCTAAAAAGGCGACTAATGCATCATCAAATTCTTTACTTCTAAAATGACTTAAATCACATTTACAGTAAAGAGGCAAGATCCTCTGGTCTGAAAGTATTATTATAAATGAATTTATATCATGAGGTACTGGAAAATAATCTTTAAACCGCACTTCAAGTTTGTCTGAAAGGACGCATAAAAGTGCTGTTGCTTCTACAAGAGCTAAATTGATTTCTGTCGAACTTACCTCATCACCTGGTGTATAACCCAACCTTTTATAATTTATCATACATACATCAATGGTTTCCACAATGATAAAACCTTTAGCAATCTTCATATTAGTATCACATGTTTTAATTCTGCCCAAGCCATAATCGAGTAACTCTTTTAGAATAATATACTTACCACCATCATCAGTATTCTTAATTATGTTCTTTGCATGATCACTCCAATACTTTCCTTCTATTTGATCTAACCTTTTTTGGTTTTTCTTTTCTTCAGCTTCACCATCTTCGAAAAGTTCTTCTACTGACAGTACTTCATACTCCATTTCCAATTCACAATGAAGAGCTTCGAATTGTTTTAACAGCTTATTTGGGTCTGGTGGTCTTTCAACATACACAAAGCCATCCTCTTTCGCAGCCTGAAACTAATGGAGCACACAATCATCAGACAAATTTTTATTCTATTTAATAATATGGTCAATCATGGCCTGATAATTATTTAAAGTTTTACCTGTTCGTTTGAAGGTCCTGCCATCCTATTGATATTTATTAATACAGGAAAAGAGCGACTGTTTGCTAAGTTTCTAAAGGACAACAGAACCTCCCTCTGAAGCTGCTAAATTTAAAATAATGCTGGTGGTACTAGGGGTTTCAAGGATTAACCTTTGGTTAGAGAAGGGATAGATTCAGATATCATAAATGTTGTTAATAAAAATATCCATTCATATCCAATGATAACTACCAATTTTTCATGCATTATGAATGAAATGAATTATGAATAAGAATATTATTTAATTAAAAGTCAATACACTCATTTAATTTATAAGTGATAAATAAATAAAATTATACCAGTGGTGAACTTTTTTTTAAATTAAGAAATTAAAAGTAAGAGCAATTAATTTTTTTAACATTTCAGAAAAGTATAATAATGAACTGATTAAAGAAGTATTATTAACTGAAAATATTTGTTCATGAAAATTAAAACAACTTACTAAAGTTGTTTCATGCTTTATTTATTTTACTTAATGTTTATATGACTGTGGTTTCTCATTATTTTACATGTCTCTTAATCTAATTTAATTGTAGTTTTTTTATGAAATTAAATGTATTATAAATTTATATTTTATTAGTAGCTTCTTAAATATTTAGATATAAAACCGGTCCTATGGTCTGTAAATATAAACATATTTATTACTTAAATGATTAATAAATAATTATGACTATATATAATTTGAAGATTACTGTTATTACAGGCACGGGCAGATCTACGGTGGTAAAACATAACCATGTTTTATGGAAAAAATAAATTTAAAAAATACCTCTTAAAGTATTATTGTTCGTGTAATTACATTTAAAAGGACTTAAGGAATCACTTAAACACCATTTCATATAGTTTATTTCTTTCTTTTTTTTCCAAAGAAATTATTAATATTTATATGATAAAAAAGATTCCTAGCTGAAGCTCCCCGCCAAAAATTAAATCCTGGATCCGCTAGTGATCACAGGAGCGGGCTTGTAATTTCATAATTATAATCTTTTCTCTTGGTTAGACTTAGAGGAGTCAACTCAATTATTATATTTATGAGGAATTAACTCTTTTTCAATTGAGTAATTAATTTATATTTCATGAATAATTGTGATTTTCTAAAGTAATAATTAAAAAACTCATTTTAGGAGAGGTGGGAGGGTTGATGCTTTGTAAAGCACCTCCCCTCTACAATCTGCCTGTTACTCAGCATAAATGAAAAATATTATTATCATTGAAAAAGATTGATGAGATAACAAACACTATCAAACATGAAATTTATAATATACCTGAATTATTATAAAGATTATTTATTATTAATATACACAGGATGTAAAAGATCGAAGATATTTTTTAATTATAATTATTTTAAAGTACACAATTTACTTTTTTAAGAAGTAATCTTAGTTTATCTAGGTCATATGTTTATTGAATTGATGAGGGGCAGTCCCCATAAAAGATATTCATAATTAATACATGAATGTAATTATTAAAAAATTTTAAAATTCAATTTGTACATTTTTGGAATTTATTGTATTTTAACAATCTTATCATTTGAAATTTTCATTATATCGAAAAGGATGGAGTCTAATGTTTGATTTGGGAATAAAATTTTAATTACAATTTTAAAAAAGTTGTGATTTTATTTCAAATAATAATGTTGATTTAACATAGTTGCAATGAAATTTAATGTAGCAGAGACGCATTAATACAGATAATATTCTTGAAACTTTTGGCCAATAAAGTCTCTAGTAGATGTTGATTTAAGTTATCCCTTACTTTTACAAGAAGCGGTCAAATTATTGCTGGAATCACTTGTGAGTTTTATTCTTGTTTATATTATGTTTTTCTCACAATGATGAGCGGAAGAAAGAGTTGTTAGATTGAAGAATCCGGTTGAATTATATCGATGTTGAAATAATTGAATCGTACAAAGCTATGGAGGATCATTGGATATGAGCTTAATTTTTTGTTTTCAACATCTAGAGGAGAGACAATATAGAAAATTTACATCTTTGATCACTGTTTTTCATTTATCAAAATAACTGGCAAAACTTTATGACAATACTCAGTAAATACCGAATGGATGTTGCCAAAGTTAGAAATATTTTTGTTTTATATTAGATGATTTACTTAAAAAGTTTAAATATTTTATGGAAATTTGATTTCTTATGATTACCAAAGTAATGGAAAAATGCAAACGCAAGCTGTTTTACAGAGTTTTAATTTTATATATTTATTTTTTTAACTTTTAATGACTTATCATGATGTCATTTTGGAACACTTTGTTTCTAAAAATAATTGAATGTAACAATCAATAAATGAGTGTTTTTTTATCTGGATTTATCCGGAGAAACATACAGAAAAGAAATTTCGATTGATTTTGAAATTTCAAGAAATTTGTTACTAAGTAAATAGGCTACAACTCAATCGAATTTATTTGATTAACTTTTGTTATAAACTTTTATATCGTAGCTTTGATTTTTGTCAAAGTTAATCCCTAGAATTTTCATTTATACATCTTAAGATGCAAGGGTCCCATATCCCTCCCTCCTCCCAAGGTTGATGGGGCAAGAATCTACCTCTCTCCCCCTCCTCCCAAGATATTTTATCGCTTCCTTTTCTTAAAAATTGAGGAAGCTAAGGTAAAATTAGAAAAACCTCAGATCATATACAATTACACTTGCTACAGTCTGTTACATGTTTTCCTCTTGTCCTTTAGTCCAAAAATTCAAACCCCCCATATAAATTGGTCCCCTTCGAAAATTTAAAAACCCGTCAAAATATACTCCCCCTCAAAAATTTTGATGCAGTAAATTGCGCCATGAAACCCCCTTCTGGGCACCCATGTTAAGATGCTAGAAAAGTTGAAATCAATTGAAGTTATATTTTTCATAATGAATTGATCAATCATGAATGAATTAAAATTACATTTTGTATGGTGTTTATATAATTTTGTGAAATACAAACATTACATTTCACTCGAAGTGCTGTAAAAAAAGGAGAATCCAAAATCAATATTTTTCAGGAGGGTATATTGATAACGTTTTTTCGAAAGTGGTGTTTTCGCTGTTGTTGCTTAGGTGAATCTACTAGTATATAAATTAGTTTCGCCACCCATGTTAATTTTTACATAGAAACGAATATAAAACTGAATTTACAAAAAGAAATGATGTGTTCAAATAAAATGAAATAAATATAGTAAATTCCATAATTACATTATGACTAGAAGACAAGTAATATAGAGTAAATTGATGAAATGATTACACCAAAGCTTAATGGATTGGTTTGTTCATGATAATTCACTAATTTTAGATATAATGTATTTACAGTAATCAGGATTAGGTGAATAAAAGTTATTTGATATTGATATTTATGAAAGGAGTTGATTATTGACTTGCTTAATTTAGTGTCATTGAATGCATCATATACTATGTTAATACAGTTAAGTAATTCTAATTTTTTTTCTAATCGAAAAAGAGTAGGCAGTTGCCTGTTCCGTTTTATCAGAATGACAAATTTGTTTTAAATTTTAGAGGAGAAAAACATAAAACTTTTAAATAAATGGAAAAAATAAAAAGCCGTTCTCATTGCTATACCTACTATACTAGTCCGTGGGTACAGTCCCCTTTTTATCAAATTATTAACACCGGCCTGAAAGTTCATAAGTAGCTTCATCTCATTGTAACCTACAGACATATTTTAGAAAATTCTCAGAATTGAGGCCTTTTTAATCTAGAGATCGGCCAACTTTGTATTTAAATAGGTACTGAAAACTCATGAATACCCATTTGCTTTCCACTTGAATCATAAGATAATATGATCACAAAAGCGAGAAAAAAAAGTGGCCTACAAAAATATTGGGGGCTTTGGCCCATATGATCTCTTTATTTTAACTTTTCCGGGGTGTAGGTCACGCAAAACGGACCAATATTTTTGTAGGCCATCCTTTTTATCGACTTTATGATCATATTATCTTACGATTTAAGTGGAAAGCAAATGGGTATTCATGAGTTTTAGTACCTGATTAAATATACAAAGTCTGCCGATCTCCAGATTGGAAACGCCCCAATTCTGAGAATTTTGGTAAATAAAATATCTATAGTACTGAATGAACTTTATCTATTGTTCTACATATCATGGGTGATACCTATTCAGGAGGCAGTCATTATAAAGTTTTTATTTGTTCCTACGTTTCGACCCAAACTTGTGGGTCATCATCAGTGATCGAAACACGCCCTGATTTCGTATGGGTTGCAACGTCGGCACCAAAAAGAAACTTTATAACGGAAGTTTCAGGCAGATGTTAATAATTTTATTAAAAGTGATCTGTACCACGAACTATATACGTTCATAGCCACAAAAACTTAGACCTTTCTAAACAAAATACGGTACCTATAGATTTAGGTTAGTCAGTATGAAAATCATTGTACATAGTTTATAATGAAAGATTATGCTGAAAAAGATGACAGTGAATTTCCCAGATTTTGATGGGAATAAAAATGTCTTAAATCTGAAGGTTGATGATATCTTTTTCGAGATCAAAATCCTAAATATAGCATTTGCAAAAGATAAAAAAAAAATTCGGGTCCCACTTATTTAGAGCTCCAGTCAAAGAAGATAATGGAAATAGGAATAAATAAACCCAGAATAAGCAAGGATATATTATTATATAAATCCCAGATGGAATTACATATTATCAGTGGTTTTTATCTTATAGCAAATGCTCTATGTACAAAATATTCGTAATAACTACGGGTTCGTAGTCCGCAGGCAATGGTTGAATTAAATTTCAGTGACTAGGTAAACGTGAAAATTAGTTTCAATTAAGTTTATGTAATATTCTTCCGTCATACATATTAAAACAGATTATATAAATTTCACTTTATTTATGTAATGATGTCAAACAGTGTGATATATGATATAATAAAATATTATAGATCAAGACATTACTCATTTGGAACAACAATGAAGTAACTGCAAATTATACAATTTTTTAAGAAAGGCAAAATAATTAGAATTATTATTGTTAAAATAGCATAGTGTATGAAATTAATTGTACCAGTGTAAAATTATATCCAGATTTCACCTTATTAGATACTTTGACGTAGATTCGATTAGACATGTTAT